TTTCATGGGTTAGCACCAAATTCACATGTTCCTAAAGAAACTAAGATTGAGAATTTATAAAAGTTTTAGTTACTTTATATTTATAGGCAACAACCTTATACCCCCGTTATAGACCGGCTTCGTGAATGAGGCCTACTAACGGTAAGACTGACTTGATCTTATACACACACACACACAGATATATATATATATATATATATATATATATATATATATATATATATTATTAACTTATAATATTATAAAGTATAAGGGTTGAGTTTGAAGCTTTTAAAACTCTAGGGTTTGGAATAAAAGTGTGTGTGAGACTTTACAAATTCCAAAACTTGAGGGCAAGTTTTGAAACTATTCAAAAACTTTTCATTTCTCTAACTTATGAGTCTTAATGGTTTTAAAGAAAATACTTTTGGAATTCCATAACATGAGGACAAGTTATGGAGTCCATTAATTGACATTTAGATCAAGAATTACACTAACAAACAATTTGCAAATAATTCTTATGATCTACTAGAACTCATAAGCATGAACATTCAAATCAAAAAATTTCAAGAATCATATAAACATATATAAAACTTGAAAATTTGATAAATATCATTGAAATTGGATTAGCATAATCATTACCTCATCAAAAACAGATTTTACAAGTCCAAAACAGTTTAGGACAATGATTCTAGTCCAATTCCAGCAAAAAAACTCGAAAATCTGCACACACGGCCTCCTACTCGCCGAGTGCAGTAACCTACTCGACTAGTAGGATGAAGTTTCACTTGGACTCGTCGAGTCCCCCCATGGACTCAGCGAGTTCACTGAACAGTGAGCAGAATTTCGACATTTTTCAACAATTTGCATCAAGTATAATGAAAACAAGCCTAGGCTCTGATACCACAAATGGGTTTTGAGCATTCTAACACTCCTATGGTGTACATGCAACCCTAGAAACCTTGGATATATGTTTTCTCTATTATACATGCAAATATTCGTTTTCCAAGGTTGTAATCCTAACTAGCATATCATGGCGTACTTGTAACATAAAATCAAGTAGAATGACATACTTTTTCCTTGTGGTTAATTACTTGAAGTTTTGAGAGCCTAGCACCAATAATGTGGATGCCTCAAGTGGAATCACAAATCACCACACAACTTGAAAACTTGAGAGAATAGTAATTCACACTTAGAAATCGGCTATCCCTTCTTATCTCACACACTAGTGCCAAGTTCAAGTGCCAAGGACTCCTTTATATAGTATGGTGGATTAGGGTTACATCTATTTAAATCCTAATACCCATGACCTTTCATTTCCATAGGATCCATGGGTTAAAAGCTCCATGTACTATCCATGGACTTCTATGCAAGCTTATCCCATCCTAAATGAACATTGACCCATTCTCTATATATATAAGAGTCCATGTTTAATTAGTTACTTTTTATCACTAAATTTATTCCAAATTAATTCTTGATGAATACTAATTAAATAATATGATTTCATAGTAATATATTATACCTTATAATATATTAATAAATCATAAATATACTACTCTCAAAAGACTATCCATACAAATTGTTCTGGTGAAGTGCAACCCAAATGAACCATGTCGGTTCGGGTCAAGTACATACCAAATATAGTTATGGACTTAGACACCTTATCCAACAAAGCCAACCTCGGCAGATATTTACATCAACTTATCTAAAAAATCCTCATAATCTCATTCTTGGGTCCTTGATACATGATGTGGTGTTCGCATTTGTTCTGATTTGCAGGGGCTAAAAAGAAGTGAGGATGTGGAGCATGGGAAGATCTGATTATGATGAATAGGAGATCGTCACTTGTTACCAAGATTGGTGTTTATTCTTTAGTGCTTAGTAGTGGGTTGTGTTTGGATTTGAACAATTGTTTCTATTCTTTAGAAATGATGAGAAACATCATTTCATGTCATGGTTTATATAGACAAGGTTTTATATATTCCTTTAATAATAAGAATGGTTCTATTTATGCTTATAAAAATGGTGTATTTTATTTTGAAGCATTACCTTGGGATGGCGTGTATGAAACTGTAATGGTTGTAGACAATTTAGGTAATAGTGTTTTGCAAATTGATTCATCTAATGGTTTAGACAAAGCATATTTGTGGCATTGTCGTCTTGGACATGTCAACAAGAAACATATTGCCCAACTCCAAAAGGATGGAGTGTTGGAATCATTTGACTTAAGGTCAGATCATACATGCGAGTCTTGTTTACTTGGAAAAATGACGAAATCACCTTTCACTAGTTCTTGTGAAAGAGGTGAAGGATTGTTGGATCTCATACACATAGATGTGTGTGGGACCTTCAGATCCACCACAATAGATGGAAATCGATTTTATGTGACTTTTACTGATGATTATAGCAGATATGGCTATATCTACATAATCAAGCACAAGTCAGAAACCTTTGAAAAGTTCAAAGAGTTCAAACAAGAAGTCGAGAATTAATTGGGCAAGAAGATCAAGATGCTCAGATCTGATAGAGGTGGTAAGTATCTTAGTATCGAGTTCCATAACTACCTCAAGGAATGTGGAATTGTTTCACAATTAACACCTCCTTAGACACCACAACTTAATGGTGTGGCTGAGAGGCTTAATCGAACCTTGTTGGACATGGTTTATTCCATGATGAGTCGAGATTCACTTCCAATATCCAACTGGGGGTATGCCTTAGAGACTGCCACCCATATTCTCCATCTTGTCTCTACAAAGAAGGTTGCCTAAACACCTCATAAGATATGGACATGGAAGTTTCCCTTGTTGGCACATATCAAGGTTTGGGGTTGTGAGGATTTCGTTAGACGAGCGACTCACGACAAGCTTGAACCTCAAAGTAAGAGATGTCTTTTCATCGGTTACCCACAAAAGTCCTTTGGCTATTTTTTCTACGGACCTAGTGAAAATGTGGTCTTCGTAGCACGAAAGGGAGTCTTTCGCGATAGAGAGATGATATGCAAAGAGGACAGTGGGAGTACACTTGATCTTGAAAAAATTCAAGAGTCAAACGATGAAGGAACCTCTAACACTAGTGCTCAACCTGAGGAAGAAATTCCAATTGAACCTATTGACGAGTCATTACCTCTTAGACGTTCCAGCAGTGTTAGAATGGCACCTGAGTTTTATGGTTTCCATATAAATACATATGGTGATACGTTTATCAGTGATAGCACACTGGTAAATTTGGATGAGCCTTCTAAGTACAAGGAAGCCATGGCGGGCCCTGAGTCTACTAAGTGGAAAGAGGCAATGGACAGCGAGATCAAGTCCATGTATGACAATCAAGTTTGGAATTTGGTTGACAATGTACAAGGTCGAAAGACAGTTGGATGAAAATGGATCTTCAAGAAGAAGACCGACATGGATGGAACGGTACACACTTTCAAAGCTCGACTGGTTGCGAAGGGCTTTACTCAAACCCAAGGGGTTGACTATGATGAGACCTTCTCACCAGTGGCTAATATTAAATCTATTAGGGTAATGCCATCCATAGTTGCGTTTCATGACTATGAAATTTGGCAGATGTATGTCAAAACCGCTTTCCTTAATGGAAAGTTGGCTGAGGATGTTTACATGAGTCAGCCAGAGGGTTTTGTGGATGCTAAGTACCCTTATAGAGTGTGTAAGCTTGAGAAATCAATCTATGGATTGAAACAAGCTTCTTGCAGATGGAATATTTGCTTTGACAAGAAAGTTAAAGAGTTTGGCTTCTCTAGAAGTGAGGATGGATCTTGTGTATATGTCAAAGCTAGTGGGAGTATGGTAACCTTCCTGGTGTTGTATGTTGAAGACATACTACTTATAGGAAACGACATTCCAACCTAGCAGTAAGTTAAGTCCTGCCTTGGAAATTGTTTCGCTATGAAAGATCTGGGAGAGGCTGCTTACATTCTGGGAATAACGATTTGAGAAACAAGAGTAAAAGACTAATTAGACTTAGTCAAAGCATGTATTTGGATAAGGTGATAAAGCGTTTTAGCATCGAGAATTCCAAGAAAGGAGAGTTGCCTATCTAGACTAATACCAAACTGAGTAAGACTCAGAGTCAGAGTACTGATGCAGAGATAGCAGAAATGAGTCAAGTTCCATATGCTTCCACCGTTGGATCGATCATGTATGCTATGACATGAACTCGCCCTGACGCGGCTTTTGCTTTGAGCATGGTTAATCGATATCAGGGAAATCCGGGTAAAGCTCATTGGATAGCGGTCAAGAACATTCTTAACTATATGCGAAGAATTACAGACTGGGTCCTTGTGCTTGGCGGCAGTGATGACTTAAGAGTTATTGGGTATAGTGATGCCAACTTTCAGACAGACAGAGACAACTTCTGTTCTCAATCTGGCTTGATGTTTAACCTTAATGGAGGAGCGGTAACTTTGAAAAGTTCCAAGCAGGAGACAGTGGCTGATTCTACCTGTGAATCAGAGTACATTGCAGCAAGCGAAGCATCAAAGGAGGCTATATGGATGAAGAACTTCATTTGAGAGCTTGGAATTATGCCAGCCATAAAGGAGTCAATGGAGATTTTATGTGATAATGAAGGAGCGGTTTCCTTCACAAAGGAACCAATAGATCATGGCAGATCTACACATATCGACAGAAAATACCACTTTATCAGACATAGAGTATAAGAATGACACCTCGTCATTAAGAGGGTATCATCTAATGAGAATCCTGCAGATCCCCTCACAAATGGTCTAAGTAGGGTTAAGCACGTTCAGCATGCAAGGAGCATTAGTCTGAAGGATGATATTAGTTTTATTAATTAGATAGATATTTAGAAACTTGTAACAAATAAATATAATTGAAATTTGATGATTAAATAATGAAGATTTATTTATGAGTAGTTTTTAGAATCTTTTATCAATTGTTTATCATTATGTTTCATTTTGCATGTTTTACTTCTCAAATAATTAGATTATTCAAAATATCCGCAGTCCATCATACGTTGTAAGTAAGTAGTGAATTATTAATAGTATGGACGACCGTGAGTGGAAAACCGTCGTCCAAATCGTAGCTGTTAAAACTCAATCAACTTTTCATCTGAGCCGCATAAACTCCAATCTGGCGGTTGTTTGCAGTTCAGTCGATCGGGTACTACTTCTTCTACCCATGATTCCGTCTCTACCCACGATTGTGTCCATGCTGGTAACTGCTGAATCAGTTCGTCCTCATCCGCCTATATATTGATGGTTCGATGTTAGATGTTTACATCTTTCAATTGGTAAAAACAATTGCTTCACACTTTCTTCCAGATCTTCTGTACAAATCAATATTGAATCACATCAACCTCTTCACCACCCATCTGAAATTGAGTCAGGATTCATACAATAAAATCATCAATTTTGTATGATTATGGGTAGGGTATTTTAGGCGGGGTTCGTATCAGGAGAAGGTTTCGAGTTGGCCTGGTCGAACATCTTGATTGAGTTTGGATTTCGATCACTCGTAGAAACTGTAAGTATTATCCTTATCTTCCTCTGATTTGGGATAATGATCTGACTTCAATTTTGTTTTAATCGAAGCAATCTAATGTTCTGTAGTTTGTTATTCCTTATAGTGGAACTAGAAAGGAATTAAATGGGAAGAGAAATAGTCACAATCCGAAAAGAAAAAAGGTATGATAAACCTCCTAATTCATTCTTCATTTGATGTCAACATTTATGGATTCAAGTTCCACTGAATATAGTTCACTTAAGGTAAATTGATCGAATTTTGCTTAATTTTTCAATGTTTCAATGAGTTTCTTCAATTGATTCCTTTTGTTCCAGAACAGTTGTTGATATACAATTTCGTCTGAATGTTTCAATGACTTCGGCGTGAATGGATACAATTCTCGATTAAGTGAGATGTTTTGGATTCTCAAGGCAAGCCATCAGGCAAATGGTTAGAAATATTGTCGAGGTCAGATTATTCTAATTATCAATCTGCTAATTCCATTAAACAGAGCCCATCTGCACCTTCATATGCTATATATTTCCCAGGTGTACGCCTCTTTTTATCTCTCTACACACCGACACACACACAACACGCATATACACAAATATAAGGATCAGATTGAGATTAATTGATTTAATTGTTGTGTGCAGATCAGAGTAGTTCAAGCAGTTTCAAAGACTTTAGGTTTTATACATCGTTTTTTGTTAATTTTTAGTGATCTTGTGTGTCTTTTAATTATTATTTGTCATAATGATGCAGAATTTTCAAGCTTTTAGTGAGAAGTATAAAGCCAAAGGTGAATAAGATGATGATTGAGAGTGTTGTGTGACCTTAAAAAGAAACTCTTGCCTGCCAAGTATTTGCTAAAATGCTTGAATGAAAGACTTGATTGTATCTGTTCGTTCCTTGCTTCCGGTTCAGCCCCTTATGGATGCATAGTTTCGACAGGTCGGTTTTTCATCTGGTTTAAGTGATCCTTTTTTTTTGACTTATTGGACTTATGGAAACAAGATTTAATCTGGTATGCTATAAATGGGTGATTATTTTTTGCATGATACATAAACAACAATTCAATATAGAAAGTTAAGAAAAGCTTGGTCTCCCTATTAAGTCCTTAAATTTTTTATGAATTTCCCCTCATTTATTGTTGGAACATTCTCTACACAAGATCAAACATGCACTAATACTCACAGTAAAAGAAGGAACATGCAATCTGAAGATAGGACAATTTTCTGTGTATTACTCATTGATGAAAACAGAAAATACATACATACACGTCCTACACCCTAGAAGATAAACCCTACTCTATTTATAATAATAAACATGCTATGAAAAAGTAGAACTATCAGCTAAAAACACAAACATAGGACTACTAAGTCCACGTTTATTGAAGCTCCACGAAACCAGGTCTTTCATTAGACCAAGTCCTGATTATTCAACTTGTGGATAAGGAAACTGGAGCGACCCATTCGAATCCGTACCCATGAACAACTTAACCCATCAAGATTACCCAACATTTATTTCTATCGTCCATGTCCCAAATGTGTTGTCCATTGCTCATTCAAAACACTCTATTTGTTTGTGGCTCTTAGTTACATGGAAGAACTAAAAGAGTGGAGTCATAATTTTAGTTGAAAACTGGAGCTCACATTTTGTGAAGACACCTGTTGGTTTTAAAATTATCTGAATCATACAAATAAAGCCCCTCAACCTCTAGTAAGTTTCAAATTCAGAAAGTTAATATATATATTTTTAGATATTAAAAAAGTTAAGTAATAGAATCCTTGCTAATACCGTGTAAACACATCAGATGTCACACTTCAGCTTTTAACAGGTTTGAGGTATTTAGTTACTTAAAATAAAATAAATCAGAAGTACGTTCTTATTTTTTGGTAAAAAACGTAAATGGGAGTAGAACAAAACCGGTTGCTATTTTATGAACTTTATCTTGATTATTGAATCGTAGACATTGGTGCATTTGTACATGAAGAAAGTTGTGAAGTAAACCTTTTATTTTATTTATTATAATAATGTCTAATTTGTCGACTTATTCTTTTTTTAAAACTTTTTTTCATAGAAAAACTTTCATAAAATTGATGTTTGTTAAACAAATGGATGCATCAAACGTGATACCAGATTCTTGTATTTTCAGTTGTATTTTAGGCAATTGTAATAGTGAAGATGACATCATAAAGTTAGTAAAATGTATATTCATGTTTATGCAAATAAAGCTAAATTAAATGATGTTTTTTTGTGGAACGATGTCTTTTTAAGTTATGTTTTGCGATTCAACAACCCATTTCATGTTTTTATTAATAAAAAATCATTGGGTTCAGATGATGCATCAAAGGTAGAAGAAGTTGTTGGAAAAAGTTTCTGAAGAAGTTGATGCAACAACAGGAGAAGGTACATTATAGTTTCTAGATTGTTTCATTGATCAGAGATTTTGACGCAATTTTTTGGTGTATTTGTGGTGTTATTGTAGCCGAATGATACATGTTTTTCATCATTTATTTACATTACAGTAATTGATCATATTAAGAGGGGAAAAGAAAAGATTGGAAGAGTAGTAGTTCCAGTTTCTTCAAATCCTACTCAACAAGAGGTTTTATTATGGTTGAAGAATCTGAATTTTATTCTCTGTTAAGGAGAATACCATTCTCACACTAATGATGGTTCCCTCTTATAGTCCGATGTGATAATTCTTGATGTTAAAGTAAGTAGTTATCTTCCCTGCATCTCTTCTTTTACTTTTGTTATTGATAATTATTCAATTAAATGAGGATATGATCTACTACACACTCATTTTCTCATTATTCTATACATCTAAAAACATAATGGAGAGCTTTTCAAAGAAGGGATGTCTCTTATGAAAGATGGTTTTGTCCGGGTAATAAATTCTAATTCATAAGTTCTTTTATTGCTTCAATATCTTTTTTCTTATTAATACTTCAATTATATGCCAAAGCTTCCTTAAAGGGGCTCGTCAATTGATGTGTTTTCCACCTTGTAGGTTAGCTTCTAAAGCTGATCTTAAGGTCCTGTTTCAGCCACGTCATTTTTTGAATTACTTTATTTACAAAAACAATGGCCCTGATTATCAACATGATGGAAAGATCTCACAACTTGAGAATGTGTAGATTCATTTCACTTCCATTTTAAGAGTAACAGTATCATAACAATAAATGTGAAATGATCATACCAAATACACTTAAGAACACTCATATGTTCAAGCGATTGGAAGCTATAATTAAGGTTACTTCCAGAATGCTCTTGGATAGTTTATTTTTTTTTATTTCTGAATTCTTTTATATATTGTTAGTATTGTTTATAAAATATAAATAATGCAATTTTTTTGGTTTAAGGGTAAAAGTTCAGCACTTGGTTGTGGTCGATAACAAAACTTGAATTTGTTCACAGATTTTACAAAGTTGAGGATGGAATGACTATCGAAATATAGCTTTGACATCCATTTTTTGTATGCTATTCAATCAAAAAGGTCATAATATTTTCTTTTTTCTTTTATTATTTATTTGTTTTTTTTTACAGATACACATTCATCATTCATTCTAGGGGTAGATGCATGATTGGAAATAATGCGTTTTGGAGTATTGCTTGCTTCCTATGGTGAAATCAGCATTAATTGGGTTTTTTGTTTATCAAATGGAATATGTTGTTGGAGAAGCTTTTAAGACTTATATTCCTGAAGATTTTGGTTAAAAGAAAAGGTTTAAAACTAAACCCCATTTCAATGATGTACTATGTGAGGCATTGCAAACAAGTACCCTTTTATCGTTTTAATCAAAATGGTATTAAGGTGGGATGCTATGATAATTGAAAGTTTATTATAGCATCCCACTTTCATTTCTTATTACAACATTGTATATTTTTTAAAGAACAATGCCTGAATGAGAAAACATTGAAAGTAGAATTTTGTAATAGAAAGATATGAAAGTACGATGTTGGAGATAAGAATGTTGACTTTCAGATCTATATTGAATAATATTTCAGTTTTTTAGTCTTAAGTTGACTGTGTTGTTTATTTTATCTTATGTATGCAACACAATTATAGATATTATTTCAAAAGATAGAAAGATAATTGGATAGATTTGTCATGTACATAAGTAATATAGAAAGGAAGGAAAGTAATATGCTATAAAAATAAGATAAATCAATATATTGTTTATATATTTGTCAACCTGTCCACCGGACAGGTACGACACTAGTTAAGACTGTCATGAATCAGACTATAGATTGTCAAATTGTTTAGACATAGCAATGGTTTGTTGCAGTATTCATGAGTACTTATGAAATGGAAAATTTGAGTATTAGATTAACCCACGCTCAGTGAATTACTTTATGGAATTTATCACGAGTAAGTCTGAGACGATAATATCATATAATCTTTAAACGGAGATATATGAGTTGTTATTTACGAGTTCGTTGTGCATTGATAATGCGTAAACGCATCAGTAACTTGATGTTATAAAACGTATTGTTGAGCATGCTTTGATAAGTAAATAGTGTAAGCATATAAGTCAAAGTTTATCAGCTCCTTTTTCCCTAACGGGAAAAGTGATATCTTGGGCCCCTCGATGATTTGGTGTTGACTTTTGTGTCGGACCCGATCAGGAATGAATTCATGTGTTCAATTGTAGTCATTACAACTCAGAAATCGGGAAACAAGCTTCTGGAAAATGAGAATGATTATGCTCCATGTCATTTTTCCACATGATATCTTGCAGAACGGAGGATTATAATTACTTATCTTAGGACACGTAACTGAATAGGTCAGAGTTCGACAGCGGCCTTCAGAGCTACAATTTTCTACTCAATTTTGAAGTTATACTTGCAATTGTAGTTATTAGACTTATCCATGTGGGATACTGTTGGATTAGGTGTCAAAGCTCATAACTATACTTGGTATGTACTTGAATTGATAGTAGCACAGTCCTTTTGGGTTGCCCTCATACTAGCAACTAGACAGGATGACTTTTGGAGAAGGAGGTTAAATTTATTATTTAAATAATAAATTAAGAAGATTGATTTATTAATGTATTATGAAAATAATATATTAATTAGAAATCATATTATTTAATTAATGTTTAATCATAAATTAATTGGAATTAATTTCGGGATTAAAAGAATTAATTAAAAGTGTACGGACTAAAGTGCAATTGTTTAATAATTGAGCAAAAGGTTCCAGAACCTTCCTAGAAGGTGGTGCACGGTTTTACTAAGGATAATTAGAGTTTTTATATTATCATATGTAGATAATTAAGGAGGTGGATAATTACCAATTTGAATTAATAATATATTATTCAAATTAGGGTTATCCAGTGTATCCTTTCTGCACTATAAATAGACCTTTAGGGCTTCTCATTTTCGGCTACTCTAACCCTAAGAAGAATAGTTGAATTTATCAAGCATCTCCTCCTCTCTCCTCTCTCAACCTCTTGCTTGGTGTGGGTGTGAACCATTAGAGGTGTTACACTTGTGGCACTTGCTCTCAAGCTTTCAGAAATTTCAAGATCTTCAAGGAATCCATTTTATTACAATATAACAATAAAGGTATGTTTACTATCCTTTGTTATGAATTTCAAAAATAGTAGACACTTCCTAGGGTTTTTCCTTTTATGTTCAATAATTGTATGTTCAATAGAGAAAACATAGATCCAAAGCGAATTAGGGTTGCTTGCACATATGATTGTTTGGTTTGCTCAAAACCCATCAAATTGACCAATCTGTCCGCAAGTGAAACATCCTCTCCTTGTCTCCCGACAGCCTCCTGCATGGGTCCTCCCACACTTGGCACAATGGCATCGGCCCTGTTAGCCTCCCACAAGTGAATCCTTAGTCCTGGGCCTCTTCGCCTGGCCCACTGTGGTCTGAATCTGCTCCGCCTTCTTCTTCCCGAGGTGCTCCAAATCAATTTCCCACTTACGGATATGAGCAATCACATCATTCAGGGTCTTCCACCCTGACATGCTCACAAACTCGCTTTCCAACGGTTGCACTATGATATCTGGCTCAATCTCTGCCCTAAACTGGGTCACAAACTATTCCCAAGACATAGTTTCTCTAACTCAGTAAGTGTAACAGATTGTGCAATCAATTCCCAACAACTCCTTGCCGCATGATGCAAGAGATCCAAGGAAAAACGAACATTGGCTCCTATGTGATAGGGTCTAGCACGGAGGACACCTTCCATCTCCTCAATCCAATGCGAACTCGGAACCCTGGCAGTCCTCCCACCAATTGGCTCATCACCAGAGCCTGAATCAAAACATGAACCTTCTACATGCGTGCTCGTCACCATTCTGAAAAGAAATCATACACATGATCAAAACATACCCAAATAGTCCTCATCCCACTGGCTTCTTAGATTCTTTGTGACACTCCTCGAGTCGAGTATGGATCATGTGCTTTCAGTAGTATGGGCCCAATACTATCTTCCACACCTATCCGTACTTTCCCCAAGAATTATCCCGAATCCTCCAGGTCACCTCCTCAATTTGGTACTCTAAGTACTTGCTAAACAGCACATCCGAACCCACTAAAACACTTCCTAGGCTCTCCTAACTTCCCGACCTCACCCTGCCATCAGTTGCTGAAGAACTCTCACTAATGTCAGCTAACTACTTCATGAATATAATCACATGTCGCAAACCTTAGGTAATCCTTCGAGTAAAGGATTCAACCCTACAACGGTTAGACTCAAATGAGAGTTACGCAATAGAGTCAAATCCATCACTCTGAGATTATTTAACCTTTGCAACATGTGACTTAACATATTCACTCAATAGTTAACTTACATCACCAAGAGTTCCACAAATCACAAAGCAAGCAGAATTCGTGCAGCAACACTCTAAGCCAAAGAACAAACAAAGAACCTTCATCGCTCTCTTAGTACAAATCATGCTAGGAACTTCCACTCTTACTGTTGGCTGCCTTATGCATGCAAATTATACACAATACAGGATCAAATAGACTGTCGAATAAAAGACTCCACCCTAGGACAACAACCAAACGATGAATAGGAAATAAGGCCTAATCAATCATTCTAGGGCTATATGATCCTAACCGTATATAATTTTTAAAGCATACACTTAGCAATTACTATTACCAATACATATTCCTAATCATAGGAGGCAATGCTTCCTAGGCTACAAGGCATCACATATCAGGCCATTCTATTATGCAATTCCTGTAAATATCCATATCCTTAACCTAGGATGCAAAAATTAATATCATATAGCATATCAACATGTACGGGTATTCTGGGAAGCACTTACTTGAGCTCGGCCGATTGCATGCATCACACACCCTTTTCTTTACGAAATCTTTTTAGAAATTTGTTTTCTTTTAAAATATTACCAATTCCGCAGTTTGAGTTCAGTCACACCCAAGAGTGTGCCCGAATCCCTCAAACTAAGGCTCTGATACCAACTTGTAACATCCCAGAAGTTATAAGGTAAAATTTTCATTTTTAATTCAACCATTAAAACACCATTTAGTATTAACAATCACTCAAATGTATAATAATGTAAAAACAGTTATTAGAGTACAGTCCCAAAAGCATAAGGTTACGGAAAAATCGGTGGATGTAGTGCAGTCATGTCGGGCCCTTCTATTTTGTACCGGAAGTACCTGAAACCATAAAAATTAAACCGTAAGCACAAATTTTAGTGAGCTCCCCCAAAATACCACATACCATACAAACATAAAGTCAAGCATATATGGGTGCTTGCATTCCCCTTCGGTCTCTTTCAATCGGATACTGTCACACATATCTGGGTGCTTGCATTCCTATTCGGTCTATTTCAACCGGTTACTGTCTAGCATATCTGGGTGCTTGCATTCCTCTTTGGTCTAATTCAACCAGATACCGAGTCTATTTCACCCCCTATCTCTACCACATAATATCATAGCAAAAGAATCATAGAGTCATTAAACAATACAGGCATAACAAATGATTATCACGAAGACCATCATCACACTACAAGTAAAACTAGTGGGCCAACATTGGAGCCTTCGACCCATAGATACAATGAAGGAAACTCACCTCAAGCTGCTGGATATCTAAGATAAAATCTCGGACTGCCGATTTGGAAAAATCCCCGCGCTAAAATCATCAATTAATACCCAATTAATAATTAGCCCAAAACCCATTGTTGGAATCCTAGTTCGATAGGCCAACACTCAGGGTAAAAGTCCATTTTACACTTTCCTTACTCGGCCCAAAAATCTGAAACCCAAACCAAAAGCATCAAAGAGCCCAATATGGCCCAACTTCCTAGCTAGGCCCAAAACCCATCATGGGCCTAATCCCATAAGGCACAACTTCCTAAAAGACACCCAAAGCTCCAAATGGGTCTAAGCACAATATGGTCCATCGACAGAAAACTAGGGCCCAACAAGGCCCAAAAGCCCAAAATCACATCTCACGTCGTGACCAGTTCTTGGTCATGTCGTGGGAGATCACTCGATCAGATCCCAACTCATCCCGACTCAACCAAGCCAACTTAATCAAGGAATAACACCTGAGCTGACCTCACGAAGTGAGCAGCCAATGCTCACATCGTGAGTCTCAACAAGCTCATCAGAAATGAGACCAAACGCTCCTCACATCGTGATACCTTGTGTCTCACGCCGTGAGACCTTGTGTCTCATGTCGTGAGAACAGTCTGAGGCTAAAAATCCAACTTTTAAGTTCTTAATCCATTAAGCCTTGAACTCTTACTTCCATAAGGTCTTATAACCTCTTAATACATTAGAAATTCGATGCTTTTAATACATATATGTCCAATATATATCTAGATCTCATTTACATCCATAGGTGAAGAAAAGACATCCAACTTTCACACAATGCTCCAAAAACTCAACCATTTTCAAGATCTGAACTCCAAGACATCCCTAAGGCCCTCATAACTCATAAAGTTGCCAACTTTATAGTTTCTACTCACTC